GAATCAAGTATTTCCAACCAAAGTCCAGTAACCTTTATAGGAGTGTTTTGAAGCCGTCAGGGGAAAAGATACAGCTCGAGAACCATTATATATATCAGATGTTTTGAGGCGTTTTTTGAGTATAGAGCCATATCGATGAAAAGGTGCCCCTGATTGTGGCTTGCTCAAAATTGGCAATAATGAATATTCTTTACCAGTACAGATTCCACCTGCGAGGGACGATTATTGGCAGGGTATCATTACAGGGTGTTCTGAATATACGGTACCGTGACTAATGATTCGCTAGGCGTGTATTACATGACTCCACAGTTGGTGGTACAGAATATCCAGCTATCGAAAGGTCAACTCACCATCGAGGCATTTTATTTTCTCCCCAATTTCCTCACAATTTCTTTTTTAGGTAAATACGCGACGGAGTTTCACGCAAAAATTGTCGCAATAGATCATTGCGCAAAAGAATTGATAATGCAAGTGTTTGCCAGGAAATCCAATGCAATCTACTCGGAATGTCATGCCAGTATCAGATTTATACTTTTCATGAGTATATGCCATTTCATTCGCGCGGCGCCTTCATACTTCCTTTCGTGAGACTTACCTAAAAAGTTCAGGGAGTCAAGCTCAGAGGATCCATGCTCTATAAGGTACCATATTAGGACCAGATTAGACTAGATCAGACTCAGACCAGATCGGGCTCAGACCAGATCATGCTCAGACCAGATTAAACTCGATCAAACAAACACTTATTAGAAACGGTTGTAGTTAAAATATTTAGAATCCTCACATTTTGGGCTGTAGTTTGTCTTGTATTTTCTATGTTAAAAAGAACAGTAGCTGCAGTGGATTTGAGTTTTTTTACCGAAACGATAAATCATGTGCTCACAGGACTGAGCTTATATTATGCTTACCAAAGACATCTAAGATTCAAGATTTAGGAAAATCAATAAAATTCTTGAATCATTCTAGTTCTGAAGATGGATCATGCTCAACTTTTATATGAGTATACTGATTTGTACGAATTGTATGCAAAAACTTCAACAAGTGATCGTCGAGCAAGAAGGAATAAGTATGTTCTACAAGTCCAAGTTGTCTTGAACGAGCTAATGAAATTATGAAAGCTTGTTTGTGTATTTTATTCAGATATTGTGTTGGAAAGGATGTTGCGCAATTTCAGCATTGAAGAATGAGATAAACGAGAATTGAAATTCTTCGAGTTTTTTTTGCAAAATCATCAATTAGGTATATCATCATAGTCTATTGTGTCTGCTTTTTGCATAGAGAGGCGGAGACATTGGTTCATCTTGAGATAATGAAGACCTTTGGAAACACTCCAAACGCTGTGAATATGAAGAACTTCAAAACAATTTGTAGACGGAGTGCAAAGCGCTATGCAGAAAGCTATGTCCAAGTTCGGGTGAACGCTGCATAGAGATTGGTTTCTCGAGAACGTGAAAAGATCCAAAAATGATGTAGTTAAAGGTTTTATTAACGTATTTCCAGAAGAAATGCGGCTGTGAAAGTGTACACATTTCTGAACCAAATGATCCTCTGAATCAATGTTATGAAATTACACTAGAGAATCAGCTTTTTTATGATTTTTTGTGTTGCATATAGTATATAAGAACCATATATCTTCTACTCTATATATGAAGCATAGCTGTCCTCAAAGCGGGACCAACCTCTGTCTCTATAGGTAACGAAATCGACCAATAGGCGTTGATGCCGACGTAGGAAAAAATGATACTAAACTTGTTAAACCAATATGGCCACGGATTTCAAATTTATAAATTTAGTTTTAGCGCGTATGTGATTGATTGTGATTGAAATTCGAATATTTTTAACAATGTCTAGTGAAACGAAATGCAGTATTTGCGGAGAATAGACAGGTATCCTCTTTTCATAAGTAAGTTTGAATTTTGATATTTCCTACGAAGGTACACACTTATTTACATTATATTTTAGACTCCCAAAGAACCCTGAACGAAGGAACTTATTGCTTCAATCATCAGCCCTATCATTTTTCTCATACATTATCAATAGAGTAATCAATCATCCAGCAACAAGCATATTAAAATGGGAATTTCCTGAAAGTAAAACGAGTTTGAATCAGTAAATGACAAGTAGTGTAGTGTATAGTCCTATCACGCTAAACAGATTTAAGTAGATCACTTTGACCACATTGAAAAATAATACCTACAAATACTCTACCCTGACCTATGTTCAATATTCAATATTCAATACCAAGATCTGAAGCAATAATGTTGAATTAAAGGGTGTGAGTTTCGAGATTCCACCGAACTGAATGTAATCATTATCGCAGTTCATTTCATTATCATCTGCAATTGCTCTTTCCTGTTCCTCAAAGTTACTGACATCATGCTTTGCTATGTATTATACTGTGGTATTATCAACAATTGATGATTTTTAATATTTTGTTATGATCAAATAATTATTTACGAACCTAACCTAACTTAAAATTTGATTCTCACGACAGCAGTTTCTATCCTTCACTTTCCGTCCTTATAGATTCACAAAGTACCTCTCATTTTGGTCCCATTTTTGTTAAGATATCGTATAGGCGATGCGCCATATTATATAAAAATAGTAGATATATGGTAAGAACGATATTAAGCGGGAAGGGAGCCGAAAGGATATAGCATTATCTTGCTAGATTCCGAGAAAGAAAAATATCGTGGACACGTCAATCTGTTATTGTCAATTTGTAAGGTTCTTGTGAACGCCATGAAGACAAGTTTGTGTCATATAATGATGATGTATAGATTGGTATTTATAGGGGATGAACCATCCTGTGGAGTTAACAATGCTTGGGCCTAGACTAGGTACGTCCCTGTGGCGTATCGTCAATTCACATGGATTCATTCGCCGCCCATAAATTTGTGTATTTTGTTGGTTAACGTTTCCATTATAAGCTACCTGCGAGCTATACGCAATTTAATATGTTGCAAATACTTGTCCATAAATCTTTGCGCGTAACCGATTACGAAATTTTCGTATACAACATATTTTTCCCGATAAATTGCTTTTGACTTATGCCAATAAATATTATTATTTGCCTGTCATGATCATCCCGAGGTGATATAGATGCTCGTAATCTACTGCTGTAACGGGTTGCCGCTGTTGGGAAGATAGTTTCCTGCATTACCTACATTACCTTTACCTACCCGCCGAGCCTTCTGTTTGAGTATTTTTCAACGCTCTTCAGTCGGGGCATTGCCCAACCCAATCGGCATTTGCATACGAAAATATTGTCTAGGTTTTATTCGATCGAATCCAGATCTCGGATCGTACGTTTCAGAAAACAGGTTCGAATCAGATAGTGTCGTTTTAACAATTATTTACGGGATCTCTCTATAGGCGAAAACAGCTTCTTTATCATTCTCCAGGATAAGGAATGATATGTGAAGCTACAGTGCCGTAGAAATATTCTTCATACTTTTTCTTTATATATCAGGTACGTAATATCATTTCGACTGAACAATTGAGCATGGCTCATACCATCAGAAGGGTATTGAATGATGTAGTAAATTTGTCTCGAATCATAGGTTTGAGCCCAAGAGAAATTATTTCTATTTCGCGCCTATAGGTACAACGAAATCATAGTATAGGTAGTATTCTGTGAAGTTTGGTTATGATACGCACTTATTTTCTTGGCATTGGTATCACTTATCACTGAACAGTTAAGTAAGAATCTGAGTATATAGTATTTCTCCATTTATTTCGAACTTTCAATCATTCTACCACTGATATATCCCTAATATTCCTATATGTGTAAATTCGGTTAATATTCTCATTTTATTGGAAAATTGGAATCAATGCAGAATAGACAGAATAATATAAGCATTACATAATGCAACACCAAGTTTATGATGCAATCTTATTATGAAACTTGACATATGTTTTTGATAGATGTACTAAAAGATTGTTGGCGAACGATATGTACTTGACAGATAGACCACTGAACTGTTGAAAGACAGAATTTGATAATCCCTTTTGTATTATCTGTGTTTGCATTTGTACTACTTGAAGTGACCCGGATCGAAACTCTGTACGCAACGAAGGTTCTTGTAGACTTGTACTCACTATACAGGGTGTTTTCTAAGTACATGCATGAAATTCAAGCACAGATTTCCTGTGATATTTCATGTAAAAAGGTTTGAAGATAAATTTATGGCCCAAACAGCTCAGTTTAATGAGTAGGGCCATTATATGTTAATAAGAACTTGCATTCACTTAGCAAACACCCTCTTCTGTAACTGAAGTTTCAATGATTCGGGTTCGAAGTCACGTGGCATTGGCAATGATGCAAATAACCTCTAGTATAGAAATTTGAATCATGGCATGTTGATTACCGCTTATATAAACATAGATAGCTTCGATGAATTTCGACAAGATTGGTCTGGGAGTCCTACCAATATTAAATACAACGAAACAGATTCATTTATTATGTTTAGTTTCAAACGATATGTATTCGTTGCTAACAAATCAGTAGGCTATATAGTTGAAATATTTCGCCTTGAATTCAAATGTTCCATGTCAAGCTCCTGCCTCGCGAAACAATTGAAGAGTGAGCCCATACCAGAGGCCACTTACATCATTTTTTCAGCTCCTTAGCCACGCACCTCACCGTGTTTTGCTATCAAGGGGTTCACGTTCTCGGCCTCCCCAGTCCAAACCGCCACCCATTTTCTAAAAACGACGACGAGTAACTGTGTCGAACTATCGAGGACTTCGCGGTCTCTGCTTCTCTCCCCTTTGAAAAACCTGATAACGACCACTCTCCCCCCCACCCCTTCGACCTACTACCGCTAGTTATGCGCGTGCATCCTCACCAGTTTTTGCTATCGAGGGATAACGTTCCCGGCCTACAGGCAGCAGGCTAGGGCACGACAACGCGTATGCGTGTTCACCTATCGAGGACTCCGCGGTCTCTGCCCCCCTCCCATCAAGAAGAAACCTAATAACGACCACGCCCCCACCCCGCCCTACCGCTGGTTATGCGCGTGCATGTGCGCGTGCGAGTGCTGCGGGTGGCCGTACCCCTGATGGGTGGCGGGCAGCGGACTGGGGCAGGCCTGCGCGTAGCCGTGCTGCGGCGAGCCGCCCAGGCCGAGGTGCGCCTGCTCGAGGTGCGCGTAGTGGCCCTGGCCGGCGAGGGAGTGGGGATGCGCATGCGCGTGCGGCGAGCCGTACACCATTTGCCTTACTTTGGAGTCGTCGTCGCTGATGTTGTAGGTGAGTTCGGTCTCCTCGAAGCCGGTGGCGGACATGCGCTGGTCGCCGCCCGCAGAGCCCGCGGGCGGGTCTGGCGAGTTGAGGCAGGTCTGGATGAGGGCCTTTCCTGCAACGGAAATGGAACGATTGACAATCATGAACTGCTGATCAATTGAACTCCAACAAGCATATTCTCACACTGAATTGAACATTGAATATTTTTGTGATAACTACACTTATTCGGATACTGTTTTCTTCATTTTGAAGAAAAATCTCTTGGATTACTATGACTTCCAGACCGTTAATGAAAATACATGGTTAAACAGGGGTGACAAACATACCTCTGCAAAATGATGAAAAATTCTCCAAGCTCTCAGTTTGATGGCCAATTTCTAGAATTTATTTCTATTCTATTTGTATAATGCTCAAGGATATCCCTCGAAATGGTTATTCTATATCTCTTTGAACATTGAAAAAATAGTTATTTATTATACAAGAGGAAAAAGTAGTAGATTTTAGCTCCAGGATGTATGTATAAAACTGTGAGCTAAAATCTAATATTTTTCCCGTTTATAATACACTATTTTTGTCCGTGACAGAAGAAAGGACGAATCAATATTGAGAAGATTTCACATTATTTTGAAATTTGAGAATAATCGACTTGAAATTTTTAAGTTTTTAACTGTAGGGACACCGGCGTTGTAGGCATCTTCATCATTCTTTTTGAGTAATCAAATATTTGATGTCACTTCTGTCAGTCTAATTCTATGATTTGATTTCAAAAAATTGCGAATTTAGTGTTTGTTCAATAATATATATAACCAAGTCGAATGGAAGATAAAAGGACTCGAAGGTTTTCATCTTGACTCAAACAAGCTATTGACAACCTGCAGACATTGATCAGAATATCAAAACATTTTGAATAATATCGGTTTACTAATGATCTTCAAATTTCAAAGCCTACCAAGTGTCGATATATCATCGAATTCATGTCACAGCCAACTTATTCTTTTTGAATGAAAAGCAATTCAACAGCGAATTAAGAAATAAATGCCACTTTGTCATACATGGTTGGATAGAGAATTTCAAGGCGAAAAAGATAGACTGGAGAAATGTACAGGGTGACAAATAAAAAAAAATTGGGGTCAGTTCCGGTCAAACAGGTGGTTGAAAAAAATTAAATTCGTAAAGTACGCTACCATTTATTATATATACCCCCTGTGAATTTCAAAATTTCATCTCTCCAAATAAAAAAACTACAGGCTGCTACATGTCTCCTGTGTCACCCGGTATATAGTAAGAGTATTTTTGCTCCCATTATATAATAGTAGATGATAAAAACAAATGTCACCTATATCTTCTCTGAAATGCTCTGAATTTGATTCTCATTTGCAATATCACATTTTGTAAATATGTTGTTATTCGGGTGCAGTAAAAAAATATTAGTGATAATCACCTTAGTTTCGATTCATTCGATTCACCAATATATTTGTATCATACAGCAATAACTATTTTTTCTTACGGATGTACGAAACTAATAGGACAGAATATCATATCGTATCACCTGATATCATATTATCCACAATATCAATTTACCAAAGTCGTCTAACGAAGAGTGAAAACTAATCGTAAAATCCTATAATATAAGATCTCCGTCCGCGTCTAACGCGTTTTATCATAAATAAACGATCTTATATTCGATTATGAATACTTTGTAATTACGCTATAGCGATAATCATCGGCTGTTTTCAATTACCTATTATACCGAGACAACAATCACACGCAGCCTATTACCGTGCCGAAGAGTGAGATCACAAAACGATCATTAAAACAACTGTATCATCCCGTAGATGATTTCGGAACTGAACTAGATGATTCGTAATTTATTCATATTACTTCCATAGATGGCATAACAACATACATTGGTAATGCGAATATACCGTTAGTTTCGAACGAGATAAAAAACATCGAAGGCAGAATTAAGTCTTTGCTACGTGCCCGCTTAATAAAATTCACCTATATGAAACGTAATTTATCTAGATTTCTGTCGGATGAATAAGCAGAAAGATAAATAGACCGCGACTAAGTGTTTCACACTTTATTCAAATGAATACATCAAAAAATCGTGTTACATGGTGTCGAGACATCCGATTGGGTATCAAAGATCATATAGTTTGCGATATAGGTGGCTCCCCGAAATCGGATAGGAGAATCAGAGAGCCAGATTGAGTCATTCTGATTACTTATGAATGGGGTTGTGTACAAATCATGTATTCATTTAAATAAAGTGTGAAATACTTAGACTAGAGCGCTGGGCGCGAGAACTTGCAGCAACAGACGAGTATGAATATAAAAATATTGTTGTGAAATGATACATAAAGCAACTGTTTTCCTAGTGGACACCATGATAGCATGTACATCCCTCTATCGAAGAGGCCCTATTAATCAGAAGTTTTCCATGGTGATCCCTGGAATCATGACACACCACAAATCGATTTATTCAGATAGAACACTCTACTTTTCATAATTATGTAGGTTTGTAGGTACATGAAATATTGAATCATCATTCTCAATCATCATCCATCCCTTAGATATCCTAATTATACATATATAAGGTATAACTATTACGTCTTTGAATAATATTAAATCGCACAACTTTGAACACTGATTTGAGGATATATAATTCAACAAAAATTTCCCCTTCCCTTGCAAAAATAATTTCAGCGATCAGAACGTTTTTCGTCATATAACAGCGAAGAAAACTTTCTGAGAGTCTAGAGGAAATATGACGTTCAACCTCAAATATCTGGAAAATGGTAAAAGATATACAGTTTAGTATATAGGTATATTTAAAAAACAAAACTCAAAATACTCGTAAAATATAAAGTGTGTTCGAACACCGAAAGAAAAATCTCAGTAATAATTATCAAATATTTGTTAACGTCAAATTTGTTCATAATCAATTAGCCATATTCATAATTAAAAAGTCTTATTCACCAAAATCGTACCTGTTTCTAAGCATTATTTATTACCAATAAATGATTTATTACTGTCACATTTGTTCATTGTGAACAGCATCATTTAATAATTAACAATTCATCTAGTACGCCGATATGTGTTTATTGATTATGATAAATTTGTTTATTATAAATATACGTAATATAAAGGATAACAATGGATATTTCATTTTATTCTTCGTTTGGTAATAATTAAAAAACTGTCATGCGCATGGGCCATCATTTTAGTTTAGCTTCCATCTTTTATCGCGTGAGCATCTTCTTGATATCGTTGCTGATTTTCATTTGATTTCGACCAACGCGAAAGTTATGAAGTGTGATGGTTATATTAGTTCAATCCCTTATATGACAGTGCGGGTTTGTTTACATTTGGACATAATTTGGGATAATTTCATGTATAGGTACAATATCACATATAAAAAAAATGGCGGACGACTATCAGTGCATCATCAGTATACAACATTTAGTATGTTCTCAGAAAAACAGTGGTGCATGTGGAGCTTATCAATCAATATTGGAACATTTTGAACGTAAGTAGGTGCGAATGCCTATACGGGTGATTCAAAAGTAAGCGGCATCCTTTCAGAGGCGTATTCCTTGCATGAAAATAAGGCAAAAAGTTCCTATTGATAAGGATCCGAAAATGCTTCCTAAGGGAGCTACGGCCCTTTGAATAGGACACCTCAAAGACGGTTTTTTCTCTATAACTTTAAAATCCTTCACAACAAATTTTTAAAAATTGGTGTACGGCATAAACATTCGATGGTAAATAGGACTCCGTATTCGGAATAATTTCCAAACGAAATCACAGTAACCTGAATATCCGGAGAAGAAGGGATATTTTTACACTTACCCTCTCCCGCATGTGACGCCCCTGAATGAAATTCTGAAATTTCGAATACGGAGTCCTATTTACCATCGAATGTTTATGCCGTACACCGATTTTTAAAAATTTGTTGTGAAGGATTTTAAAGTTATAGAGAAAAAACCGTCTTTGAGGTGTCCTATTCAAAGGGCCGTAGCTCCCTTAGGAAGCATTTTCGGATCCTTATCAATAGGAACTTTTTGCCTTATTTTCAAGCAAGGAATACGCCTCTGAAAGGATGCCGCTTACTTTTGAATCACCCTGTATGTATAGTATGCATGAGTATTTTCTGATGATATCATTCGTTTTACATGAATTTGAAAGGGAGTACTATATTATTATGTACATTGAAACGTGAGTACGCCATCATAGCTGAGGGCTGATGAGTTATAAGGTAATAGGTTCATACGCAACCATCAGCCCTGATCGAATAGTTTGATTATATACTTAGATAAATAATATTCGTTAACTGTTACTAAATTTGTTATTGATATAAGGCTTAAAAACATTCCCTCAGGGTGATCCATACGACTGGTGGTAATACATCAGGAAATTTAATAAAACAATTAGCAATTTTTCTGAAATGAAGACATTGAATTATATCAGCGAACATAATATTCATTTATTATCAATAAAATGTTTCTTCTCATGCTGTACCTACTTATAAATGAATATTTGGTTACTAAAAACAAAGATTTTGAAATAATGAATATCGTTTGGTGTGGGTGAAGAAATATATATTCTCAGATAATAAAGGACTATCATCATGAAATAATCATAAATTAACCATGCACGAGGCTTATTCATGGGGTGTGAACAAATAATTTGTTTTTCTCAAACAAACGTTTAATAAGCCATATTTCAATAACGGATTTGGTAACAGTTAATCATATTTATTTATTATAACCAAACAGTTCTTTCAGTGAAATAGGAACAATTATGAAAATGAAATTTGAAACACAAAATAACAATTGAATTCTGATAAACTAAGTTAGAAGGGCGGTCAAAAATAAACTAGAAGACTCCTGTAGTGCAACAGGGTGATTTACGGTGAGAGCACATAAGACGTTTCTGGTGAAACAAACCGAATCACTTCGAAAATTTGATAAATAGTATAAACTGACATTTTCTAAATAACTAAAATATATTTTCGACAATACGGTGTTGCCACTTCTAGTAGAAAGTAGTAGCAACTTTGATATTTTGAAT